CAAGTTTCTCCAAATCAAACCCGCTAAAGGAGGAAACGTAGTTTTTGGAGATAATAGCAAGGGAAAGATCATCGGCGTTGGTTTAGTAGGTAAATCTGAAAACTCCTCTATAGATAATGTCTTGCTTGTTAAAGGTCTTAAACACAATCTCTTGAGCATAAGTCAATTATGTGACAAGGGAAACCGTGTGACCTTCGATTCAAAATCATGCACGGTAGAACGCCTTAGTGACAATAAGGTCATTCTACGTGGTGATAGAATCGATAACATTTATATGGTTAACTTAGACAAATCTCCCTCCGGCTTTGCTAAGTGCCTCATGAGTAAAGAGGAAGACACTTGGTTATGGCACCGAAGGGTAGCTCATATGAACATGAACCTTTTGAACAAATTGGTTTCACAAGACTTAGTAATTGGCATTCCAAAACTTAAGTTTGAAAAAGACGCCATATGTGATGCATGTCAAAAAGGGAAGCAAGTTCGGGCTTCGTTTAAGTCTAAGAACGTTGTTTCAACGTCTAGACCGCTTCAACTTTTGCACATGGATCTTTTTGCGCATCGAGGGAAGAAGCAAGTTCGTCCAAACGTTCACATGATGAAATGTTGAATGATGATTCCTCGGATCAATCTAATACCGGTATAATTGATGAAACCGAAACTGAGACTGAACTAAGACGAAGTAAAAGGACACAAACTAAGAAGTCCTTTGGTAATGATTTTCTAACTTATTTGTTGGAATTTGAATCGAGAACTCTATCATTTATGATAGAGACACAACCCGATATTCTAACATGTTTATTAGAAAATGAACCACAAACTTATCGTGAAGCAGTGACTTCGTCTGAAGGCCCTCAGTGGAAAGAGGCAATTAAAAGTGAAGTTGATTCTATTATGCAGAATCACACTTGGGAGTTAGTGAATCTACCTCCTGGATGCAAACCGTTAGGTTCTAAGTGGATCTTTCCGAGGAAAATGAAACCAGATGGTTCCATTGATAAGTACAAAGCCAGACTTGTAATTAAGGGTTACAATCAACGTGAGGGCTTTGATTATTTTGATACATATGTTCCTCTGTCAAGGATAAATTCCATTAGGATGATACTTGCAATAGCTTCATTGCGGAACTTAGAAGTTCATCAAATGGATGTGAAAACAGCTTTCCTTAATGGAGATCTAGAAGAAGAGATCTATATGGAACAACCAGAAGGGTTTATAGTTCCTGGTCAAGAAAGGAAAGTATGTAAACTCGTTAAGTCATTATATGGTCTTAAACAGGCGCCAAAAGTATGGCATGAGAAGTTTGACCAGGTAATGATGAACTCTGGGTTCAAAATTAATGAATCAGACAAGTGTGTTTATCTAAAAAACACATCTCAAGGGTATGTCATGTTGTGTCTATATGTAGACGACATACTCATAGTTGGTAGCGATGACAAGATGGTCAAGTCTACCAAAGACATGTTAAACTCGCGATTTGACATGAAAGATATGGGTCTAGCTGAAGTAATTCTTGGAATTAAAATTGTGAGAAGACCCGGGGGTCTAGCACTGAGCCAATCCCATTATATTGATAAAATCCTTGACAAGTTCAACAAGGATGACGTTAGAGTAGCAAAGACGCCGTTGGACGTCAATGCACACCTGGCTAAAAACCGAGGTTCCAGTAAATCTCAAATCGAGTATGCGAGAGTTATTGGAAGTTTGATATATCTAATGAGTTGCACTCGACCAAATTTATCCTGTGCCATAAGTAAGCTGAGTAAATACACCAGCAATCCGAGTGATGAGCACTGGAAGGCTATTGTACGTGTCATGAGATACCTGCGGTATACACGTGACTATGGATTATGCTACTCGAGATATCCACCGGTACGGGAAGGATACTCGGATGCGAATTGGATATCTGATAGTAAAGACTTGAAGTCCACAAGTGGATATGTCTTTACGCTAGCTGGTGCAGCAATATCTTGGAAATCCTCAAAGCAAACAGTGATTTCTAGGTCCACCATGGAGTCTGAGTTTAGAGCTTTAGAAAAATGTTGAGAGGAAGCTGAATGGCTACGCCACTTCCTAGAGGACATTCCAAGATGGGATAAATCGGTCCCACCAGTTTGCATCTATTGTGATTTTCAATCAGCAATAGGACGTGCAAAGAGTAATATGTATAATGGTAAGTCTAGACATATTCGTCGTAGACACAAAGCCATTAGACAACTTCTCACAGCTGGGATTATCACGATTGACTATGTGAAGTCAAAAGATAATATAGCGGATACGCTAACCAAAGGGCTAACAAAGGAGTTGCATGAGAAGTTGGTGGCAGGAATGGGCTTGAAGCCCTTGTGCTAGGACAGTCCTATGAAGGAAAACCTAACGTGGCTAGTACCCAGGTTCAATGGGACAACCTACTTGTAGGATAAAGCGTGTGGGGGCAGTACCGGA